CATCCTTGAACAGAGAAGGAGGGAGGAGGTCTGGACCAGGAACCTTATTACGCTTCAATAACTTGAGCTCCATGACCACTTCTGCTTCCGACGGAGGACCGTCTGGAACGCAATAACTGACCATTCGGGTCCCGTCGTCCACATGATCTTGTTGAGGACAACTGAATTGTTCTTCAAAATGTTCAGCCCATCTGTTAAGTAGGCGCGATTGACTGATGATAAGTGAACCATCTTTTTCACACATGGTCTCACTTACGCCGACTCGATGACCAGTAAAACCACGGATCAGAGAAAATAGCCCTCTGCTATTCCCAAGCGGAAAGGCTTTTTCCACTTCTTTCGATTGTCCGACCAAGTATTGCTCACTGTTTATGCGCAAACGTTTAGTAAGCTGACGTTTAAGTTCTCGACGGTCGTCACCATATTCAGAACCGAGTGGGATCGGTCGACGCTTGTTCATGTGGTTTATCGACGTGACTGAAATCCAGTTCTGTCGCAACTGAACAGCTTTCTCAGAACATGCCTATTCACATCATGCTTTCATAGCCTCGGCGACTTGTCCCCGTTGTTCTTTAGGATCACTTACTTAACTATAATCAGGCAACTTGTTCACCAACGCCTTCTGGTAAGCATCCTGCACATTCCTACCGCTCGAATGCCAGTTAAGTATCTTGCATTTACGAGCGTATGTCCTCTGGGCAAATGACAAAACAAAACGGGCACGCACAATAGCATGGTTTGGGTGCAGGTGGTTGCTCCAAAAGGCACGACAGCCCTTGATAGCATGGCGCCATCTGTAACTCACTGCGATATGATTCAACTGTTTCCACGGTTGGGAAGCACATGGAGGTCTTCAAGTAACACAGTGCTTCCTGTGTTGGAATGCGGTGCTCGAAATATAGAGACCGTGGGATGCGCACAGTTGCAGCAATCTTTCGCCATTGTCGGTGCGTTGTGCCCGAACACCAAACATACCTCCTGGCCGCTTCTCATCCGGAGAAAGACGACCAAGCTGAACATTAAAATCGCCCGGTAGTATGATGATGTCTGACTGTTTAGTTTGCCTCAGAAGGTCAACGAGGGCGTCATAGAACGCATTATTGGTAGTTTCCGAACAGCTGTCCGTCGGTTTGTACGCCAATATAATGAATACACAACGCCTTTCTGATTTGCATCGACAGACTTTAACCGATTTATTGTGTCTGATAGCGCGCAAGTGACTGTTCACTGGGATCTAATCGAGCAAGCATTGCTCCGCTCTGGAACTCAGTGCGATTTCCTGTCCGGCTTGACCGCGAGACTCAGCTTCAGCGTCACCAGAAACCCTGAGAGAGAAGCGCTTGGATCGACAGTTATCTAGCGGTCAGCTCAAGTGAAAAACGGTGCTAGAGTTTTCGACTCCAGTGTCCAACACACAGCACACATCAAACTCCAGATTTGTGAGAGTACTCGCCAGAGCAGCTTGCTGACCGACTTGTCGGAGAGTGCGGACATTGAAGGTGCCAATGTTTACCAGTTGTCTTGGCCTCAGAAAACATTTACCGACAGAAGGCATGTGGAAGGCAGAAGAAATAGGGGATAAAACAGTAGGAGGTTGTGTTAGATGAATAATATCACTGTCGGGAGAATAACTTCTGATACTTCCCGGTCGTTTATGCCGCGGAAGGGGGTTGACTTAAGGGACCCAACCTCGAGTCTCTGACTCAAAAGTCTGACCTGCGAGACAACAGGATACAGGGTTTTCTTGGGGGACCCTACCCGGAGCAAATAGTTCTGCTGTATGCTCATAGGATTGTGCCTCATTACCTAAGTACTGCTACGCGGTAAGTAGTGCGACATACAATCCTGTGAGTGTAACTGCCTTTCGTCTGGCTGCTCCCTTTCGGCCTGTCTGACAAGGTTGCACCTGGGAGGACCGGAGTCCTAGTCTGCATAGCCCGCCGGATCGAAACAGTGCACAAGTCTGACCACCTCGTCAAGGTAGTAGCACAGATCCGGAGTTCTAACCGGACCCAACGTTACCTAACTTCGGTTATCGGACGAGAACCGATGTTTCCAACGTGGAATGGTCGCGGCACGTGTGGATGCTTGAACTATCATGATGGACTGACTTGCTTACGCCAACAACGTGTTATGAATAATTCCGGCCATGTGACATCGTAATGGGCAAGATGTGAACTGCAAAAATCCCAATCATATCGTGTGCTGCTTCGATAGCCACAATAATTGTGGCATGTTTCGTCAATTATACTGTCAATATTTGTGTTGAATCCTTTTTGTTCTCAGGACGAATAACGGTTGCGTCTGATTCTTTTTAATTCTGGATCTTGCTTCACTGAAAGTTTTGTCGTTTCCTTCACAGACGCTTATTTAATACCGCGGACTACCTATGGGTAACAGCACCTTCTAAATTAGGAAAGGACGATCATCTTTTTGCGTGGTTCGAACAGTTACAAATGATTTATACAGACTTACAGTGTTTCGCCACGCTTGTTCTCTTGATCTAGCCTCCATCAAACGGGATGAATGTGTGAGTCACGTGGCCGTCAATGAACGTATATTCTAAAACATCGCGAATGTTCAATCAGTTCGTCATGTAATTACATTGTAATCCGCAGTACATATTCTGTGCTAGCTGAGCGTTCACTGCACTGTACACTGTGTGAGACTATCAGTGGTTTGCGACAACCACAAAGTAGTCAATTAACGACACATTCACGAATGATTATTCTCTTCTGATGAAGTCAGTTGTTTCCGAATCGTTGTCTGAAGTGACCTTTCCTGTCTGGAAATGCAACGATAGTCAATAACTTGTATAGATCCAGGATTACTAGTTCGTCTGGTTATTATTTTCCACTTTTTCTCCTGCTGGATTTTATTCCTTCAACAGTCGTATTGTCATTGTTATTCTCTATGGTAACCCGACCTACAGTGTCATCCATCTAGACTGGACATTGTTTGCGCATGTATCTGAATGAAATTACCGTTATATTGCCAAGGCTATACCTGAATAGCATCCGTTTCAATTGTTTTATTGCTGTAAAATGACGAGTCATACCTATGTATCTTATTTAATATTGAAGATTTCAAAATTGACTTTCTGTCCAATTCTCTTCCATTAAGTTTGCTGATGTCCTAATTTAACAGCGATATTATCAAATTTGCAATGCATCTTTATAATGAGTTTTATAGTCGACTGTTTATTCTGGTTTCAGTCATGTGATACCCAGTTGTTTGGTACTTGTCTCGACTTTCACCAAAATATGCGGTTAGGTAGTTACTCATCACGCGCGGGCGGATTACACTTTTGCATAATTAGGTTTCCGGGTCTTGGTATGTGTTTCACATTTCATATCTGTGGTCCTTTTCTTCCACGCTCGATATGGTAACCAGTGTATGTTTGTCTTTTGTGGTACTAATCTGTACTCGTTTTCCCTACATCTATTTCACATGAATAAACTACGCAAATTAGTAAACGTACAGCGCTGAAATTTAGATTGTCTCTTTCTTTATCCCAGCGATGTCAAATGACATAGTTTCCCACACTACTTCCAGTCTAAGTTGATATTTACTTTTAAACCAGAAAGCACTGACAAATTTCAAACCTTTCTTTTATAGTAGAGTAAACTGTCGTGACTGTTCTTCATTGTCTGCTTCACAGTTAAGTAATATTTGAAATCGCACGGATATAATTAATATGTATTAATTGTTCTTCATCTTTACTCGTATGATTTTTTTTTCAATATTGTACAGAATCGTTCTGCTTGTCGAAAGAATGACTGTTGTGTGGACGATCGATTGCATTTTTTGTCTGTTGAAGTTAACACTTGAAGTTATTTAGGAACGATCGGAGCATACCGTCAGTTTTTAAATAGACTTGTGTTCATCTAGTTCAACGTCGCTTTTTTTAACCATTACGCATTCTTTTCCCATAAGTCGGTATTGATCAGCCGTTCGTGTTTGGTTTACAAACGAGCTTGCAGCCATCAGTACCCGAGAGGTGGATTGGGCTTTTGCGAACGATTGAACTAAACGACCACCAGCGATGTTGAAAAGTAATTCCAGACTTTGATCTGTCTAAGATGTCCTGGGCTTCCCGTGGGCCCTCACACATGAGAACAGTGTCGTCTACGTACTCCAAGTTTCGAAATCTAATGCCTTGGGGCATTTCCACATCATAATCGCAGTACGTCAGAGCGCACTCTAGGTTCTCGTCTGCCGTAATGTTGGATAGGAAAAAGTTACCTAGGCAGCCTTTTCGCATCTCACTTGAAATACCAGATATCAGCTGTCTTGAGCCCTAACCCTGCCTAAGGTATAACATTCACTTGTCCTGTGGATGTTAGAACAAAGTGCTCAAAGTGTAACCTTGCTTACTAAGTCGATTACTCCTCTGATCTCCAAAAGCCTATATATGAATGACGGTGTTCAAGCCCTCGACGAAGTTTGAAGATGTACACAGTGCATCTAGCTTGCTACTCACTGGGCTGTGACTTACGCTTTTGAGTTTAGTCTGCAAAGTAGACAACTGTAGACAGCTTCGACGCACTTTATTTCAAAATGATTTGATGGTTTGCGCATGGTTCCTTGAAAATGAGATATGACATTGGTCAAATTCAAATAGTTTCGAACGTCGTCACTGACCCTGAGATTTCATGGTAAAACTGCCAGCTCTCCGACTAATGCGGGACCCTCATCTACAAAGCAGGCAGAATTGATTTCTCCTGAGTTAGGTGCGTTGTAAAGTTTCAGCAATTTTCTCTCAGGTAACGGTTTCGTGCCCGAGGGTGGAGAAACATCTACACACCAGTGAACATAGAAAGTACCCGAATGCGGGTGGTCAGTAGGACTGTCGTTGGAAAGCTCAATCCAACATCCTAAACATGGTTGCGGGTCGTGGTTAGGCTGTACATTGGCCTCGTAAATCTCTTCGTTTACATCCGTTTTCCCGCTATTTGTTTATCTCGTGAGATTAGAAAGCTTTCGGGAGATCCCGGTTGCATCGGTCTATTCGATATCAACTTCCCGCTGTGTCCATCACATCCTGCTATCCTGCTTTGGTTTCAAACAGTTAGCCGTGTGATCTGACTTATACCCACCACCAAGCAAGCGTCAATTAGTTTTCGTGATCGCATAGATACTATCGATTGGAGTTAACAGACAGTAACTGTGTCTCCATTTCGAGACGATCGGGCAACCTGATCATTACTCACAAGCGAAAGTGGTTGAGCGTTC